TTTTCATATAAGCTTTAAATTTACAAGCAAAGGATAATCATGTAGTCAGTCTTTTTTAAAATAGATTTGAGCATTATCCTCTCATAAAAAACTATGAAAAGCGGTCATTGTAAGGTTGTGTGCTAGTTTTATCTCTTTATGAGCTTTTTCAAACATATGTAGGGTGTTTTGGCACATATAAAGTATGTAGCATTGACATAACCAAATTTGTACTTCAATTTTCCAAAACTAATAATGAATGTTCTTTGGTGGTGTCAACTTTTATATATGCGTTTGGATAACTTGTAATAGTATAATTGACTTTAAATAATGTCATAATTAATTTCGATAAGAGTTAAGTAGTTGATGGTCTAATGAGTATTTAATATGGAAGCTTTAGATATTTTGATCATTCTTCTTTGATATAACATTTTAGATTATAAAACTTAATTTGTTAGCATTAAAATTCATGGATATAGGTTATGTAGTCTACTAGAGACTTATGATTTGATCCACTTGAGTCTAACAATCTTCCTTTTATTAACATACATTTGATTAAGAATATAACTAATCAGCTTATTAAAACTTAGATCATATGAAATTAGTAGAGAATAACATAGCAAATAACAACTAAAGTTAAAGATATAATATGGCATCAAAGCATGATGCTCATACAGCAGAAATAAATATGAATTGTCCTAAGTCTTATGCAAAGAAATTAAAAAGAGCTAAGTTCTAAGCAGTAAACAAAACTCAAAATTTTTCTTTCACTTTGTCATAAAAAAATTTGGGGGTTAAAAATTCATCATTGTTCTAGAGCAAGGTAAAGGAAGGTGAGACGGGTGGTTAGTAGGCCAAAGGGAGGTTAAAAGAGACTAACAATATGTTAAGAATAGAGTTAAGGAAGTGGTGATTGCTCAATGGAAAAAATTTGTGAAGTAGAATGCTTAGTAAAGTATCTACTACTAGCTTAGTAGAATGCTAAGTGGGAGAATCTATGAATGAAGTGGTAGAAAGCACAATAGAAGTAACTATTGGTTGGATGGTAATAACTATTAAGGGTATGTAGACCCTAAATCTTGCTTGGCTCCCCAATAAAGCTAGAGATAACTCATTTCGAAGATGGTCAAGACTTTGTTAAGTCCCTAGTAGTTTTTTCTAGGTTTCATTTAAGATAGGAAAGGTTTTTAAAGGCATTAAAAATCGAAAATTCCGTCGAAAACAGCAGATGGCCGTCCAGGATAGTTAGACAATCGTCCATGCCTACTTTAAGGCAATGGATGGCCTTCCACTTAGCCTAGACAACCATCCATGGCAACTTTTAACCATGGACAGTCGTCCACTTTACATAGACGGTCGTTCATGCTCACTTTTTGCCATGAACGGCCGTCTACTAAGCCCAAATAGTCGTCCACTTTTCCTAGCACGGTTTCCTAAAAATAGGAGCCCCATTTCTCGTTTTTCACACACCTCTCCACTCCTACACTCTCTAGGAAGCCTTTTGGCACTTTAGAGTGACTCTAAGCATTATTCCAGAGTTTGAGTGAGTTTCCTGATTTCTGTTTAAGGTAGAAATCGGTTAAGGAAATCTCCTTTTAAGACGTTCGACCCTCGGTAGGGTGGTACTCTTATTTTTTGTTCGAGGGAGGAGTGACTCTGTAGAGTGCAGAGACTGCCAAAAAGTGTTATCAAGTTCGAGATTTATAAAAGCTTGCTTCGGAGGTTCTCCTTCATATTTCTTCTCTTTTACTGTTTTCTTTGTATGCATTAGATATTAGGGTCATGTAGACATTTAAATTCTGCAAGTAGATAAAATAATAGGGTAAAAGCATAGTTTTTTTAAGTATTTATTTTATAAACGAGTTCATCATAGGGAACCCAAAAGGGGCGTTGTGGGGTGCTAACACCTTCCCCACACGTAACTAATTCCCTTACCTGACTCTGGTTGTAATGGCCAAAGTTGGTTTTTTTTAAAACCAATGTCTTTTTACCTTTTTCAATGTTTAAGGTTAAAACACTAGTGGTGACTCCATAGAACCTTTTTCGAAAACTTCATCCTTAAGATCAGTTCGATTATCGGACATCTTAAGAATGTCGACCATCTTTATAAAAAACACGAGTAATTCAAAACCATCGCGTCGCTCTGACTGCCTCTTCTAACAGCGGCGACAGATGGCGACTTCACTGGGGAAGCTAGAGAGTTGATCCCATTTAATGATGGACTAGTTTAATAAATAAAAACTTGAAATTATACTTTTACCCTTCCTTGCCTTTATAACATGCTTTATTTCATGACTTTAATAACTGTTGTATGTTTATTTTCTGTAATTGTTTGAAATACAAATTATACACAAACTCTTACATACAACAGTCCCTCTATACCCGGGGGCAAGAGTGAATACATATAGGGAGTGGGTGGCAGGTACGACCGACCGTGGTAATGGCCTTAGTGTTAGTAGGTCATTGTCGAAAACCACCACTCAAGGTGATAACCTTCTTCTCTTGGTCTAAGAACGTCGACAATGCCTTTTTGTCATGCATGGTTCAAAGACTGAGAGATTGAAGGGTCCCTATAATGGGGGTACCTTGGGGACCTGACCTTAGTGAGAACAGTTGGAACCTACCTTTGTCAATGCAATTTTCTGCAGGAAAACCCTACCTCGTAATGAAACGTCGCCACTCTGTTCGCGGATGAGTGAATTGTTTGTGCATTTTTTGTTGCATTTATTTATTGCATTTGTTTGTTGTATAGCATAATCATACAACAGCAAAAAAAAATCTCAAAATTATTTCATAATAAATACCCTTATCTCGAATAGTCTACATTTTAGCTAGCCTGGTTTCAGGTTCTTTGTAAGCTAAGTAGCCACGTGGACCGACAGAAGAGATAAGGGATTATAAAACAAAAATTTTCGCAATAAACCAACTTTATCTTGGACAGTCTACATTTTAGCTAGTCTGGTTTCAGGTTCTTTGTAAGTTAAGTAGCCACATGGACCGATAGAAGAGATAAAGGGTTAAAAAAAATAAGAACAATCTAAAACAATAAAAATAATTTTTACGATAAAAAGATTTTTGACAAAGTCAATCATTCATACCTGCATCATCTCATAAGTGGTAAAACCATGAGAGAAAAATAAATGCATAAGGAAAATATGCATACGCATCATCTTAATAAATCTCTCATCACTAGTGCAAAATGGGTCTTAATGAATCCTAAGAGCATATTTTGGGAAAATTGTTGGACAAATCCCCTTTGGGGATTTGCCCCCTGTTCTTCACTTTTGTCTCTTCGTTTTGATATGTTGTACGTCCAAATCTGACATCCCAGTCAAAAGTTATCTTACTTTGAACATTTTTCGTCTTTTTTATCATAAAATGTCCTTTTTGTACTAGTGCATGCATAAACACATTCATTCTAGGGGCCATTAGATATTCTTAGACATAAGCGAAAGAGACCCCAGTGCATTTGTAATCTTCCACAAGGAAGGGACAAGTGTGTTACGGATATAGTAACCTTCGTTATACTTGTCAGTCCGTGATAGGGAAGGAACCATTACACTGAGGGGGGGTATGGTATTCCGTAAAGCATAAGCTTTAAGGAAGATACCAAAGTCATTGTCTTAAGGCATATCCATCCCACACTAATCTTTCATTTAAAATAAATATCTTGAATTCCTATGCATTTTAGAAAAGTGGTTGGTCTGCTTGATGACCTCATCTGCATAAAAACAAAAAAAAAAACAAAATCCCAAACACTATCATACATCATATTAGAAAATAAAACATGATAATGTTTAGGAAAAAACAAACACTTGCATACATGCATCTACCAAACTTCATCCTCATAACCTTCAACTGTTTATTGTATTCATAAATTGCATTCATTCATTCTCACTTTAATAATAATAAGATAATAAAAAAGAAAGGATTAATTGATGTGCTTTCCACGAATCGGAATAAGATGAAGAGCAAATATTTCATCATCAAGTTCTTCCCAACGATTGATCCGTCTAAGGAGGATAATAAGCCTCAATCGTTGGTCATCTGAGTAAATAAAGGAGAGGGGGCAAGACGTCATTGTGTTTGTTCACGCCTTGTCCTATACATCAAATAAAGTTGTACCATGGAGATGCGTAGAAACATCGCCCATCAATGAAGAGATCTCCAACATAGTCGGCATAGGGGGCATAACAATAAGTGGAAGAATTTATTCCCCCAAGGAGCTACAAGACGATGTTCCTAAAAATAAAGCAATAATAAAAAGACTGAAGAAAAACATAATCCAAAGAGAAATTTGAGTAGACTTTGAATTCACGATGCTAAGGCAGTTCCTTCAATGCTCTGCCAAAAAGACAAATTTGTGGTAGGCAACAAGCTGGTCATGGTTCAAGCAGAAGACGACATTCTAAACAGCGAATCATCTGCCCTACCTTGTGTGGATGCGACTAAGGAGGCCCTTGAAACTTCTCTTTAAGAATGTCGACCATCTTTATAAAAAACGCGAGTCATTCAAAATTATAGCGTTGCTCCGACCGCCTCTTCTAACGGCGACAACACGGTCGAATAGGATAGTTGGAGGGAGAGAAGGGTCAGTAGGTGGAAGTGGTTGGAGTGAAGATTAAGGTTGAAAGAGAGCACAAATGAGGGGCATGGTAGTTGAAGGTGTCGAGGGTAATCATAAACATGTAATCATAAACATGATTGGATGTATATTGGATATTGAAGTTTTAAATTTTTATGAGTTTCTTCTTACTTATATGATGATTTGTTGTTTACTTGATTATATATATCTTGTTTTTTTGTATGATTTCTAGGATTTTAAGTATATCTTAATTAGAATTATTAGATCATAAAACTTAATTATATTTTTAACATCCATACGGGTGTAGGTCATCTAGTCTTATTAACTAATTATTATATTGCCTAGACTAACTGAGTCTAACATGGACGGCAACAAACTTATATATGAACCAAGATGTACACTGAAACCAATTATAAAATGACTTGTATCTTGACAACTAACCTAATTAAAGTCATTAAAAAACTTGAGTTGAGCATTATGGATTGTAGGAAAGAATAATCCTAATTCAAGATCAATTTTGAGATAACAAATAATGCAAATAACTTTCTGATGATGAGCAAAGGTAGGTGAATGAATAAATTGATTGCGATATTGCACTATAAATGAAATATTAGGGCGAGTAGTAAGATAAATAATTCTTCCAATTAGAGAAGGATTAGATAGAGTAATAGCAAATTTTTTTATGTAGTTTGGTGCAATAATCAATAGCAGAGATAGTGTCATCAAGAATCTTTAAAGTGTATTTTTTTTTTTAATTTGACGAGTATTAAGACTTTATAATCATTAGGTAAGAGAATAATTATGCACGTGACTGAAAAAGTCAAATAAGCTAAGGATTGTAGTATTGAAATTAAAATCCATGATGTATTGTAAATTTCAAGAATAGTTGATGAAATGAACATTATCTATAATTTAGAAATTATTCATTGGACATAGACAAAAAATACCAATTTGATTGATTTTAGTTATAGAAGAAGATTTGTGACTCAAATCTTATATTAAAACTAATAAGGTTGATATTGTTGTGAGGTGATTATAAGGTTCTTATTTTATTTTATTTTTTTTTTCTTTTGCTAATCATGGTCTTTGGTAATATGTATATTACTTTTTGGGGTAGTGTTCACATTGAAAGTTTTCTCATTATTGTGAAATGTATGACTTGGTGAGAAACCATATTTTTTATAACACGCATTAATAATATGAACAATTTTACCATAATGATGATAAGATTTGGTGTTGTGATTGTATGAAGTTTTTTATTCGAAAGTCATGCTTCATGTCATCATATTTGTTATGAAAATTATAAATTATGACTCGATTAAAATTTATATCGTTAATAAAATATTTTCCTCACTCAAAGACTATTATTTCCGTCACTTCAAAATAAAATGTCATTCTTGTTGAATAACATAGGATAATAAATTTGAGATTAATGATAAAGGATCCATCAGTATTAGATTTTACATGACAATAATGTTCAATAATAAGACATCATAAAACTGATACCTTGATCTTGTATCTTTCTTTCCCAAATGTTGGAAAAGATTTTACATGACAAACTAATAATATGCATTTAAAAAAATATATATACAAAATCATATAACAAAAAAGTAACATTAAAAAAATATAATTATTTTATGTTATAGTTAACTAAAACTAATTTAAAAAAGACTACAAGAAGATGGTTTAACTTTTCCTTATCCCAAAATTCTTTTGAATAATCTTTAAATTAATATTTTTTAGTTTTCTATCTTCTATACGTTTACTTAATAATTAATTTATTAATTGTTGTATTATTTTTGCTATCAAGCAACAAAGTGAGTAATATAAAAAACACAATCCCATAATTAAAAAATTTGATGAAATAATCATGTGGTATTTAAAAAAAAAAAAATAATGTCTCAATTTTTTCTTCTATGTAAAAACTTTAAACCTTGACACTCTATTCTATAGTCTTTTGATGCACTTGTGTATTCAAACCTCTATAATTCGCATACATTAATTTTTCATAAACGATTGTGATCAAAGGTGTATGTATTGGTATGAAGTAATAAAATTGAAAACAAGAGTGGGTGACTAATATATAATTAATTTCTTTAGAAGGATGAGTTAAAAATTATTGATTAATTATTTTTTATTTAAATTATTTGTTGAGATATTTTTATCATGTTTCGATTTTAAATATTATTTAGATTAGGAAAAAAATATATTAGATCATGATACAGAGTACATGAATTAAATATTAGTAAAAATATATTTTCAAAACTCAAAAAAATCTAACAAATTAATATCTGGAGTTATTTTTCTTAGTAGGCTACTACAATGAAAAAAAGAATAAAGTTTCTCATAATTTGTTATCCTATTACTTGATGGAAAAAAGTGATGAATTATGGGTTATAAGAAATTCTTATCCGTTGTGGAATATGATTATATTATTTATCTTGCTTGAAAATCCCATCATTGTCCAGATTAAAATTTAGAAAAAAAAGAAAAAATGAAGGATACAAAAGCTATTATGTGTTGATGTAATACAAATGATCATGACCAAAATGATGACCTAAAATCACATAAAAAAATTTTGAATTATTTGAAAGAAAGATAAGAAGGAAGAGAGAAGATTTAAGGCGTGAAAGTGTTAAACTTGACGGAGATTTAAGCTAAAAAGGATTAAAGAATCTAAGACAATTAAATAATACTCAAACAAATTGTTAAGTATTGTTAACAAAATAAAATTATTAAGTAAAAAGTTCTCTGATTCTAGACTAGTTGAGAAAATTTTAGTAATGATGTCAGATAGATATGAAATATTTATTGCCTTGTTGAAAAATATAAAAGATTTATTTAAGATTACTTTGACAAAAGTGCAACATGGCAACAATAAAGTAACAAAGATTGAAAAAAAAAATATCGTATTTTGTTAAAGGTGTTTTACTATATTACACTAATGAAGGTATCATCTTAGCCAAAAAATTACAAAGGTAACAAAACAACAATACACATATTTTTTTTCTTTGTCCCTATTACAGAAAATATAATCATCCCACAAGAAGCATTAGTGGAGACCAAATGTTAAATATCGCAAATATGGTCAATTGGGACATGCAGAAAAAAAATATATGCAAATCTCAACACCAAGAAGAAGTTTTTAAGGTTATAGATAATGGAGTAAAAGAAGAGCATGTCTTTGGAACAACATGCTTTAAAACAAACAAATTCACATAATGTTAACTTATATATAATGGTTGTAGAAATCAAATGACTCATGAGGAAGAATTTTTCTAAAGTAAAAATTAGGAATTAAAAATAAATGATTATGAAACATATGAGAACAATTATAATTAAAAATCATTTAGATGTGAACTAATTTAATGTTTTATATGATTTTGAGATTAATAAAAATTTGTTATGTATTACTCATTTACTACGATTTTTTCAAACAACTTTTGCAAATTCTTGAAAGGTGTCTTTTTAACACAAATTTTGTGTGTGTAAACAACATAGAAGTATCATAGCTCATGTGAAAGCCAAAATTTTTATTTTAGAATTGATGAAATGGGAGATAGTCACAAATGAAGATATAAAAGAAGAATTAAAATCAAATAAAAACAGGATGCATATTTCTTAAAGAAATTTGATATAGAAGAAGAATCACTTTGTAACATCTATAAAATGCTTAATGTTCCACCTATAGAATCCACAATAAACAAAGAAAAATAAAGTTAATAAAGAAAGAAATATTAATAAAGAATGTCAAATGAATAAAGATATAATCTTATAAAGAGAAAGAAAAAGAAAGACAAGAACTATAAAAAAAACAAAAAAAAATAAATTAAGAGAAATTATAGTAAATAACAATATTAAGAATGATTTCTTAATTATCTTTATTAAAATTAATTATTAAGATATTTTTATTTTATTTTAATTTTTTTAAATATTGTTTAAAATAAAAAATATATATTAAATTATTATTTTGATTTTAAAAAGTTAAAATTAAAATATAATTAATAAATATGAAAATGTATAGTTTAAAATTTGGCATGAAACAACCTTTGTTACGAAGACCTATCACAAGAGAAAAAATAATTTGTAAAATATCTCAACTTTTAAAATTTTGTATTTTTTTTACAACGAATTTTAATTTACAAAGATAATTATTTCATTTTCATTTTTATCTTTTTCTTCCAGAAATCTTTATAAAAAGTTTGTTGAAATATGTATAAATATATTTCAACATAAATAAATATGCATAGAACATGAGGGATAAAGGTGTTTTGATTGTTTATATACCCTGTCTCAATACTTTTCTGTAAGACACTTGATCAGTGACATTACAGAAGATCCAGATTTTAAAATGTGAACTGAATTCAGTGTCCAAACCATGGGATAGTATAAAATTTTATGTAAACATCAACTACACATTGTTTACTATGTATCACTACTTTTCACTTCATCTTTATACACACACCTACAAAATACTACATAAAATCAAAGGATTAACGAATCTTAAAATTTTGTTATGCTTATAGTATACAAGTAAAATGAATCAAAACTAGGTTTTTAACACCTAATTCGTTGTATCAAGTAAATCAGTTCTTCCTAAGACACTAAGAGTTTGAGAAATTCAAGAGTAACATTAATACACTTTCTCAAATTAAATTACAATAACACTTTTTTTTTTTTATTTTACACAAATCCTTGTAAAAAGCATTACATTCTTTTACATTATATATTCAACTCATTATATTTTAAGGATTTACACATGAACCCTTAATATCTAAACATATGACACATATACTCACTTAAAGAAGGTCATTGTAATAATAATTAAAAAAATAGAGCTTATAAGTGTAATTTGAAAAAACTTTATTTTAATGTAATAGAGTCTAAATTCAATATTTTCCCCTCTTCCATTTTCTCCGAAATTTATAATTCTTGCCAGAGTTTTATATAAGCATGGTGTAACAGTAATAATTTCTATTACTTCTAAAGTGGACAAACTATTTTTCTTTTTACTAAATTAATTCAGATCTAACATTAATTTAATTTAATTTTTTTGTATTATCTACTCATTCAAATTTAATGCTATGTTTAATCCTCTAATTTATCTATTTGATTTACTCATCTACATTGTTTTCAACCAATTAAAATCCTTTATTCTGAAAATTAAAAAATTTAGTCCATTAATCAATTTTATTATACTTAAAATTCTCAAATTCAGAAAATCTTCGAAGTCCCAAATTATTTTAAAACTAAAACATGAAATTTCATGTAAAGAGATCTCATATTTTCTTCTTTCAAATCCTAGTGCCACATCTTGTAAAATCCTTCTGCTTTTATCAAATTTCTACTAAAGTTTTAACTTCACCATTTGTAACTATTTCATATCCAAATTCATAACAAAGTCACGAACATAGAGAAGGACGAAATTAGTTCAAGTTTAAAAATAAAGGGAGTTTGTTCTAAAAATCTTAAGAATCAAAATTGCATTTAAGGAAGTACAAATAGGAGGTAATTTAAAAAAATACATCATCAATCCTAATACACATATAAATAACAGTGCTAGCTAATGACTCAGCAAGACTGAGCTTTTGAGACAACATGATAAGTACAATTTCTACCACTACACTTTCATTAATTGCTATAATAAAGCCCTCTATAAAGCATACCTTAGCCATGAAATAAGGTGTACTTTCCGCTCCACTAACAGTTTGATTGGAATAACTGTTCAAGTGTACCACCACTTAAGTGAATGACCTCAGAGATCCTGGGAGGGATACTAAGTATGAACCATGTAAATACCCACAAAATTTAACCCTCAGCCAGAATAAGTATGCACAAGTTACCAAGTGGAAATTTCTAAAACTACGGTAATTCACCCTTCACCCCCTCCCAGCCCAACCCCCATAGTAGTGTATGATGCTTCATCTCACTTCCCTTCCTTCCTATCTTTGGGAAACATTGGTGCAAAATTCTATTTCTTGCAAATTGAATTTGTTATAACTTCTGTTGCCATCGTAGTTTTCTCCAAATATTAACCTAGGTGAACAAAGATGAGTACAAGGGTATGAAGAATACAAAGATACAGTGACAAGTCAAAGAGGTAAAGTTGTACTTGCGTTCATCTGAAGTTGCAGCAGCGAGCTCGACCTCTTGACAATTTGTCCCACAGACAGATCATCTGTCTTGGTGATTGGTAATGTGCAGTGAAGTAGCCCTCCATGCATCCATACTGACAAAACTTCCAGTTGTGGGAGTACTGGACTGGTGCAACAGTATTATTATATCTCTCAACCCACATTCCCATGCTTACATCCTCCATTTTAAACAGCTGCCATCAGAATTATTTCAGTCACCAATGATTTTTATTAATGTGGCAACTTGGAATGTGAGGGGAAGGGGGGGACTGCGAAGTTAAATAAAAAATTGAAGGTTAACTAACCCTTAGTCTCCTATCCTTGTGTTGAGATAGGATGAAAGTAACAACATCACTAGAAATTACATAAGCAGGTCCATTTGCATAAGGAGGATATACTTCTTCCGGCCACTCCTGGAACAACAGAACACAACACCTCAGAGAATAGAACATGAAAGAACAATTTATAGCATTCCCTGCATTATCTGTATTGGTGACCAAATATTTTAGACAAGCACAATAACTAATGAAAAGAGAATTCAATCACAAAAAATGGAAATAAAATTATGAAACGCTACTGCACAAGTTCCAGCCAAAAGTAGAGAGTGTAGCAAAGGAACACAGACAACAGATTCTAGTCAAAGAATATAGCAAAACGACTAAAATCATATTAATACTCCCATGCTTATAACAGGTAACTAGTAGTAATTGTATTGCAGAAGCTCAAGCTTTTAGCCTGCACTTTAGGATCCTATTTGGGTAATAAAACAAACATCACCCACACACACAAGTGTCATGACTCATGGCATCAAAGCAGAAGTTCTAGAGTTTTCATGCTCACGTTTCTGAGACCCTATCTAGGGAAAAACAAACTTCACTCACCCTTGTTAGAGGGTGTAATAGGATGCACAGGAAATTAAAACACTAATCTATATACTATATTTAAGCTCCAAGGAGAGCAGGAAACTGATCGTTAAAATTAACAAACAAGAAATATAAGTATACACAGTTCGTGAATGTAGTCACTATCATACCTCAAAAGTGACTGCCCATTTGCCATTTCTTAGAGGTCGATGTAAGAGATTAAGATTGCCCATATAAAGGGACTTTTCTGGGGCTACCTTCTCAATTTCCTTCAAGACAGTATCCACCCTAATAAATGTATCATCATCGCATTTCATAACATATGCAGCTGTCACATTCTGAATCTGCATATAATAAAAATTTACTTGTATCCTCAATGGATTGAAGAGTTGAAGAAGTTTTAAGCAATAGGAGGAACGAATTGAAGGAATTGGAAGGGAAGCAGTTTTAAGTAGCTGAAAGAATTGAACTCACCCCAAACTCACAAATGGCCACAGTTTTAAGCACAACAAGCTCATAGCGATCCATAAAGGGCAAAATGACAATATCACCAAAGTAAGCAGCCTCCTTCTTCAGCACTGCATTTACTTCCTTCCTTGGATTCTATAATTGTTGTTTACAACAGGCACAAAAACAGAAATTTAGCAGTAGAATATCCCTAGAAGAGAGACATGAAACAAAAAATACGCATTGATTGCACATTTCAAGTGTATATAACTAAATTGTGTACAAATTTAAGTAATGATGTTCTTTTCAATAATTGCATTACATTTCAAACAAACATTTCAGCATAGAAATATCTCATGAAAATCCAACATCTTGATGTATATTTTGTCATTCTATTGTCACTATGCCCAATGTGGAAAATCAGTGTTGACAACCAACCCTGTAGGATTACAAATTTAGGAAGTATTATGCACAAGCAGCCAAGGTAGGTTCCCTTATATCACCTTGTCATGAACCAACTACCCCAAAAGATCAAGCTACAGGGTGAAATATATGGCTTTTATACCTAACATAACCCATCAGGCAAGAGCTCTAGACAACATGGTCATAAAGGCTCTAATACCGCACCATGAACCAAATATCCAAAAAACATAGGTTGTTAGGAGAGTGGAAAGGCAAATGAATGGTTAGTATGTCAAACACTATACAATGATTTATGGTTTGACCTGAAATGTCAATCTCGTCTGATGCATTTGCAATTGAATTATAGCAACATTATTGTATTTGAGGATATCCTATTCAAAATGGAGAGCTTCCTGGAACCCAACCCAAAATAGCTTCCTCATGGTGATAGCTATCCTAACTCCTAAAAGTCTCTTGTTCACATAGCATGCTTAAGTCGCACACCAATGTCAATGTGTTCCATTGCCAATGCGGTATTGTATAAAGAAGTTTGGTTCCAATGTTTTTTTTTTTTTTTCTTTTTCTTTTTTCCTTTCTAAATTAAATTAAATATCAAGTCAGGCTTTATTAGACCCAAACAAAATTCATTAATTACTGTAAAACATAAGTCATACATTCCACTACCCAAATGTCAATTATAGCACCAAACTCAAAACACAAGCATAATTAACATGCTTGGTTTGTTGGTTAAGTGAAAAACTCATAATAAGAGCTCAGGTTTACTTCTAAGTTGTTTATTTTATTTGAAAGACCTACCACACCCAGCAAATGAATTTGATACAAGCTATCTGAAACCCCAATCCTAATGTAAAACTTCATATTCTATTTGCAATAGAAATCAATAAATTGAGTTTCAAAAGCCCCCATTGAAGCTCAAACCAGATATTCTGTCATTGCCCCCTCATGATTTAAACCCAAAATTTTTCCATAGAACTTCCAAAAAATAATCCTAGCAAGATTGCTTTTTTTCCCTTGTACATGAAATTTTTACCATACCCTATGACAGTCTTGGTATCAGGTGTCTATTTGTGCTTAAGTCATGAGTCAATCATTATATGCTTCTATGCCAGATAATTATAAATACAAAACCCTTACCAGTGCAACAAAGAATCGTACTACTACATCTGAAGACTGGATTGCAGCAGATTGCATCCATGTCTTCCTAACTGCCATGCGTTCTGCAAAGTGATTTGAAGCTGAAAGAACTCCAATAAAAAGTTTAATAGGATGTTCGGGTAAAGGTCTGGATTTCCACGTCTCTGACATTTCCAGTACTCTTTGAGGTGAGAAACTAGGATGGGAAGTAGGAAGAGAAGTAGCATAAATTGAATGAACATCAACATTCCCTTTAACTGCCAATCCTGTAGCATCCTCAAGTGTAAATCCCTGAAGATAAGTAGAAAGAAAACATGAGACAGGAAAAACTCTGTTGACCACAGCAGCAGATTTTAGAAAAATGTTCTCTAATTTTAAGTTATGGGAGTCATTCTTCAACGTGCATAACAGGAGCCATTACCATTAACACATTGTTGAGGGTAAACCGAAATTCTATATCTATAAGCCATAATATATGCAAAACAAATTAACCAGAACTTTTTGAACTCACTAAAGGAAATATAAAACATATCTCACTAGATTATTGTCATTAAGAAGCTAGATATGCAATTTCACACCATCTAGATGGTTAGCACAATTATTAGATGAAAACACCTATACTATCTCAAGAAACTTACAGTCCGATATGGAAATGAAGTTACATGGCGACCACCAATATTAATATGGTATCCATCAACACCAGCACGCAATGTAAGGACAAACATTCTGCCCTCTATTAAAGGGAATGGCCAGGTCATTTCTGGCTTTTGCTCACGCCCTATAAACCGCTTAAACCATGATGTTGTCTTGGACTCTTTAGAGTCTATAATGTCATTCCGCATCCATTTCTCACACCGTCTGTATCCATCAACTGTCAAATATAATAGCAAAAATTTATAAGGATACAAACAGACATATGTTAGAAATCGTCAGACTCACCATAAACAACTGGAATATCATAGAAAATAAAAAATAAAAAATATTCATAAAACAACTAAAAATTGTAAGATATAAGACCCTATTACCAAGTACATGTATATTAGCAACATAGATTATAACTAAAATAGCCATTACATGTTTACGTTTTACAGCTTTATTAAAATACACCATGAAAGTAAAACTTATCCTTCTGTTGACCACGTAAAAACCAAGTAGTAAGGTGCACCTATTTTCATTATTTCTTCAAATTTTCTTATTCCAAATTTGCAGTGATATTAAATGCTTTTTATATTTTAAGTAATGACAATGGGGGAGTCTCAATTCTGCAAAACATTTTTTGCTAAATAACATGTTAAAATGAATATGATATACCATACCAAGCATTTCTTCTTCATCCCCAGATGGCAGACCATCACATCTTTGAGAGGATCCCCAGTGCATTCTGTAACAGGTATTATGCTCAATTACTGGCTGTTTGCTCCAATCCCCCCTTATTCGAGGATTCAAGTGGAGGATCTTTGGAGGATCCTCCCCATCCACTGACTTCAGCCCTTGCAATTCAATCATGAATTGTGAAACTGAAACCAAACCTCCACCTTTCTTTATCTTGGAAAGCTTGGGAACATACTCCTTATGAGCATAATGGGGTGTCCCCACCACAGTGATCGAAGAACCAGCTGCAAGCCCACAGGGAAGAAACATCAAATTATCCCCTTTAATCAACTCATCCCCATTCATAGACACCCAAGAAGGGCATGACTCAGGCTTTCCATCAAGGATAGAGCTTTTTACCGGCTCCTTCTCATTAACCTTGTCTACTTCCTGCCAAGCCTTCAACCCCAATATCCATGCCTCATCCTCCATCCTCTCAAGCACAGACAAATCATTGGTCCTCTTATATTCCCGCATTATCTTCCCAGTTATCCTACCATACCGAGACGGAATCTGCTTCGGAGACTCAGGAAGAGGTTCCTCCTCCTTCTTTGGCTCCGTGTTTGGCCTCAGGGGAGCACCCTGGTCCCTATTATCTTCCAACTTCCTGTGAAATGCATCTTTATAAACAGTACTCACAATGGACTTGCTCAAATCTGAATCTTCCCAGTCTCCAACAACTGCCCCCTTCAACCTATCATAACTCTCATCCCCACTTAACGTTGACACAATTCTCAAAAACTGTGGAAATTTGCATGACACAAACAGCAAGTACAGCACAGCAATGCCAAACAAAAAGTGGGATAATCTAAACCTCCTCGAGTTGGGAGGATCACTTTTCGTTCTCTTCATTTCCAACAAAACCACGAAACACTCTACAAACACAACAATAATCTTCTCTCCTCACAATACCAAATGTTGAAGGCAAACCCACATTCAAATTCTTAACAAAAATAAAAAGGCCATGCATTAGGCAACAGAGCCAAGCATTTTCACAGGAATCTGATGAATCAAACCTCAACGATGAGGGAGAGATCGAGCTTCCGAAATCGACCAATGTAACAAGGAATCAACAAATTGGGAAGAAACCCATTTCAACTGGACCCGGAGAACCCTTAAAGCTTCAAGCTTTAGACAGAACTCCGCGAAAAAACTCGATCTCCACCCTGAACCCTAATGCACTACCCTGAAACGGGAATGGCTATGAGCCTGAAAATGAACACTATAATGATGACACTTCAAACGAAGAGGAGGGGACCCAGAATTTTAAAAAAATATATATAAGAACACGAAGGAATTACAGAGAAAAAAGAAAATAAATTTGATTATTTTATTCTATAATTTAATCATTTCTTACAGCCGAATTTCCGATACTATCTATGTCCCTTTTTAATGCCTTGATTTCATTTGTAAGGAGGGTATTTCGAATTTTGTACTATTGCAGTTAGTTACGACCTAGGACGACAAATTTTAATGGCGACATAAATAATCTTATTCAATTTTTTTTATAATAGATATTTCTTTTAATTGAAGTTTCTAATAACTTGTTAGAAACTACTAATGTAATTTTTTTCATAAATTTTAATTAATGATTAAGTTTGTGCAAAAAATAAATTTACGTTAATATCATTTCAATTATTAAAGAGAACTGAAGTCAATGGGGATATAAAGAACACAAAATTCAAGTTAATTTCCATTATTAAGCCGAAAAATTATTCAAATGTAATTTATCTTTCCTTTCTCTAATAATGTGATTTTATATATTTTTAGTAAAACCATTTTTGTTTTCATAGTTTTGGGCATATGTGCCTTGCTTGGACACTAATTAGCTTTTGTAGTGTGTTGGTGGTACCTTGTGCAACTTTCTTTGTTAATTGAGGGAACCACGTTCTCCTTTTTTGCCGTCCTAGGTTTCTTGGTATCTAAGAAGTTTGCATCAAACAAAAGAAAATAGAGAAAAATATTGATGACATTCATTTTCTTCATCGATTTTTGGTGGCCAAATTCACAAGGTTATTCTTTACCTATGTAAGATTAAAGTTAGATGCTAACTTAAACCTCATTTTTCATTTATTTTATGGTTTCTCTTTTCAAAGTTCAGAAATCAAAAACTTTTTTATAAGTTTCTATCACATGAAAATATCTAAAGATGCTTAAATAATTATATGTTTAAATGATATATTAAAAAAGAAAGTTAGTCTATTAGTTGAAATGACTTCTTCAAAGCTTAAATCACTTCTCCTCTACCAATAATAATATTTCTTGGTGACTATACCATGGATAATTTTTAAGACATAATAAAAATTAGAACCTAATTTTAACTTGTATGGTTAAAATGGATAAATCTTATTATTTTATATTTTTAATGATTTAGACTAGAGTTTTCATTTCTATTTCATTTGTTATCTTATTGCAACTATTTTAAATATTCATACGCGGTATATGTTCTGCATATTTTCAAATTTTGTGATTTTTGATATATTTATTACTAGAGTTTAAATTCACTTAGATACAACATATATGTATACAAATTATTATATTTTGAAATAAATATATTTTTATTAAGAATTAACCATTTTTATGGAACAAATTTATGGGACGAAGGATTTGAGGAATATTAATCAAGTTGTAAATAATTATTAAAAAAATAAATTTTAAATCTGTAAGGACTAGATTTATAGGTAAAGATTCTCTATCAATAATAAGAATATGAGGTAATGAATGAGACGAAGAGAACCTATTTTATAGGTAATTTTTATTTATTTATAATACTTTTTTTTTGTAATATATAATATTATTATAAAGAATTTTTTTTTACTAATTGAGTATGATGTATTTTATATTATATATTCTTTTTAATAATCAAATTTATTATTGATAATATATATTATTTAATATTTAATGGTATTGATTTTTCATTATTAGTTTTTATTTTGTGTGACACATATGGCACATAATACACTCCTCAAACTTAGTATATAAGAATATTGAAAATCAACGAGTAAGTTTATTGTTGAGTTTTTTTTTTTATCATGTGTATGACTAGTTTGATTTGGATTATTTAAAGTTTTTGTACATAACTTATATTTTCTTAATTATGCTTCATTTGAATTATTAGTGTATGAGGCCAAGTTAAGATTAATGTATGTTTAATTTAGAATAATGATCAATGTGTGCTCAATCTGAAATATTTTTTTTAAGTTTGTTAGATATAGAGTTATGACCAAGGTGTCTTTGAGATAAAATTATGAATAAGGTGTATTTGATTTAGAGTTAGGATTGAGATGTGCATAATTTAGAGTTATAACCAAGGTCTGCTCGATTTGGAGTTTTGGTTGAGGTCTACCCTATTTAGAACTATCTTCGAGATATGTTTGATCTATAATTATCGTTGACAAGACAAATTACTATGGGCACCAAGGGGGTATTCCCCTAATTTTTTTAAAAACTATTTATATATTTATGATCTAAACTCCTTCAAAATTTCTTTAAATTATTTTGATATTTATAATTTTCGCCCCTTCAATTTTTTTTAGATATTTAAATTTATTTTATCCATTAGATTTATATTAACCCACACAAAATATTTTATATGCATTTCTAAGTCCACTTGATTTTTTTTCTCATAAATATTAAAGCAAATAATCAAATATATAATAAAGAGAAAAAAAAACTAAATTAGTATTTTATTACAATATTTATTAGATTTTTCACTTTCACTTTCGTATCATTCATTTATGGATTCAGTAGTTGCAGTTACAGATTTATTATTTTGGCCTTCCCAAAATTATTGGTGACCATTAATCACTTGTCATTAAGCTATGTTTAATCAAGAGTTATAGTAGACCATATGTGATTGATTTAGAGTTATTGCTAAGACATGTAATATAGAGTCATCTTTGAATATGTTAGATCTAAAGTTATGACTAAAATGTACTTGATCTAAAGCTATGACTAAGGAGAAAAATGTCAACCTACAACACCGCTTAAAAGGGTAAAACTAAAGACGAAGTATGTTGAGGCAAATAAATCAAAGGTTGAGGAGAGAAACAAACTCTTCAAGTCAACTTGCTAAAATTAGAGAAGTAACTTCTTAAAGTTTATAAGACAACTTCAAGAAGGAAACGAGTCAAGCTAAAATTATAAGTTTCAATTAAGATGTAGGATCATTTCATATAAAAAAATGTACTTGAAAGGTAGTTGGTAAATGATTGACCCACACTTATAATATTTATTCGCTTTATAAACAATTTATGTAATCCTGTTTTATTTTAATGAAGCTTCATTTCTTTTATTTTGTCTAAGTTTACCTTTTATTTCCCAAGAAAGAGTCATTAACAGAACAAAACCAAGAACTAGGCATAATTGACAAATGGTTGTTTAACCAAGTAAGCAAAAATATAAGTATTTATTCAACATAATGATATTGAGTCATTGTGTTGTGATGATTTTACTTTCTTGTAACATAAATTGTATGTTTGTTAGGATATTAACAACATTTTGGGATATTAATTTTGAATGACCTATTGAGACACCAATAACATGCTCAAAAGCCAAATTCAAATGACACATTAAGACATCAGTTATAATGACATATTATAATGTGTTGAGATGTCAATTTTTCTAACAATATGTTGAGATGCTAGTTATTAACAATACATTAAAATATTGACGATATGTTAGTTATTAATATAGTACAATGTCGATCACATTAACTAGGATGTAAATTTTTCTAACCATGCATTGAGACACTAGTTATTAACATCATAAACATACTATAATGCCAACAACACATAAACATGTTAATTTTCTCACGACATATTAAGATGTTGGTTATTAATTGTATATTATAATGTTGATAACATGTTGAGATATTGTTTTTTCTAACAATATGTTGATATGTCAATTATTTAGGATATGCTATAATGTTGATGACAAGTCGAGACACAAATTTTAATAAGTTAATCTTTGTCTATAAGCTTATCTTTATTGATAAGAACATTTCAAAGTAATGAACTAAAAAAATATTCCTTTAACTAAAATATACTTTTAAATGTGTTGTGTTCCAAGTTCTTATGATCATCTTTCCAAACAATTCTTATAATTTATAAGCATATTTTTACAAATAATCAATTATTATGTAAAAGTCTTCATAATTTGGGGTGAGTTTCCCCTCTATCTAGTCTTAACAAGCTTCTCTAACTTTTAACTGCACAAGATCACCATTTTACTTGAGTATTGTACTTTTGATTTGTTCATCTTTGATACCTTCATCTTAAATCTGATTTGTTTCTAATTAAGTTAAGTTTAACTCTTAAAATTTCATCATTTTGGAAATCATAAAATTGATGTTTATGAGATTCTTGTTCGAACTCAATTAGGATCATTACGTCAATCTGATAAGTTAACCTAAAAGGAGTTTCATTTGTAGAGAATTAAAGGGTACAATGAGAACTTCATAATATATTTGGGACTTCTTCCAGCCATAATGTTTTTGCATGTCCAAACTTCTTCTTGAACTTGTTGTGTATGACTTTGCTAGTATTTTCTATCTTCCCATGTGTTTGTGTATTCTTAATTGAGGACACTTGATATTTGATGTTAAGGTCCTAAAATAATTGTTCAAAGTCTTTGTCAATATTATCTTCTATTATAATTAGGAGTTATGTATGCACTTTTGTTGTAATAGTAGTTAAGCATTTAACTTCTATCCATTTTGTGAAATGATTTATCACAACAATTAAAACTTTCATTTGTCTTTTTGTAATTGATAGTGGACGAGGATATCCATTCTCCTCTTAATAAATAATCATGGTAAAATTATACTATCTAACTTTTTGGGTGAGGTATTATAAATTGATCAATATTTATGACACTGTTTATACTTATTAATGAATATTTTGTATTACATTTTAGTTTTGGCTAATTCTATACAGAGCACCTTTATCATCATGTTTTTGTCCATTCCATAAATTTATCTTATTAGATATTTTCAACAAATTCAGTATCTTATCAAATAAATATTAAAACTAAAATATTTGTATCATATTTGATAATATAAAGATAATATTGAAAATTTATTAATATTAAAATATTTATACCATACTATTTTGTTGTCAAATTTTTCAGTATTTTTTCTTAAGGTTCTTTTCCTTTGATAATTAATAATACTTAAACTATTGATATTTTTAAAATTTATGATATTATTATCATGTAATGATAAATTGGAGATTAAGTACTAAATTTCATAACGATAATATAATAAGATAAATAAACTGAGACATTTTATTTTGAAGATTGAATATTGAATTTTATATAATAATAATAATAATATTATTATTATTATTATTATTATTATATTATGTTAACATAAATGAATATTTTTCTTAATAAAGATATTTCAACTTTTGGAACATATTTTATAAAATTTATAAGATTTTACATGTAATGAAGATCAAATATAAAATATCATATGACAAAATAAATGAAAAATTTATTTCAATGATATTTCCACTTCAACATAATTTATAAGTTTTATAAATTCTCTAACAATTTATGGATATCATATGTAATGACCTTTTAAAAATCAAATATCATTTAGTTGTTATTTTGTTTTTCATTTTTTCCTGTATTGTTGTAAAAGTTGAAAAATTAGTTGTAAAAGTTGAAAAATTAGTGATCAGGATTTTAGATAAGGGGATGTAACTCTCTTAGCATAATAATTATATTTTATTATTCTTTCTTTCCTTATATTGAACTACCTTGTTATTTGTCTTATTCTTTTCTTCTTCTTTTTTCTTCTGCTTTTTTTTTTCATCTCATTCTCTTTTATTTCTTCCTTCTCACTTGTTTATATTCAATTGATCTATACTTTTCTTATTGTCCACCCAACTTCAACTTATAATCTCTTAAAAAAGAATCATTAATTATAATTCCCACGAGTAAAACAAGGGATTTCATCTTTTTTTAATAAAACAACATAAAAAAAAGAGGTGTTTTAGGAATAATAATGAAAAAAGATCAAAAATTATAATTATGTGAGTAAGAATATAATGTTAACTCAGACTTTGTTAATAAAAGAATAAGAATTTCACATTTTTTTAGTATTTTTTTCCTTTTTTTCCCTCTTTTTCAACTAAAACTTATTTTTTGTCCTTTTTACAATACAAAAGAAATATGAGAAGAATTAACAAATAAATCTAAAAATAATAAAAAATAAGATGAAAATAATTTGTCAAATGATAATTGTTTTCAAAATTAGCAATAAATAAAAAATAAAAAACACCTGAATTCACAATAAACAAAAAATAAAAAATACCTGAATTCTTGAATATTTACTCCAATTTACTTGAAATGTAAAGAAAGAGAATTATTGAAACTTGCATATTGGAAAATCAATCGATCAAATTAACCATGAGCAGCTACAATATTGTAGGTTTCTTCCTCTTGACCATATCTCGTAACCTTTATTAACGCATTCATTTTCTATGATTTTCCTGACCAAACTAGAAGTTACCAAGGAACCATGCATAATACTCAATAGGGAGATGTCGAATACACCAGCTACATCTAACATGTGAAATAGATGGATACGAATATTATGTTCAACTTGAAATACAATCATGAAATTGAAAGTACCAGAAATTCCTAAAGGCATACCATCCAAAAAGTTTCCTGACCAATAGGGTAGTTCAAGAAAACAGCAGATGCAACAGAGCTGCATATGCAAAAACAATCCAAGGACGCATACTTAGACAAAAACTAAGACCCATACATCAAATTACACCAAGTAAGAAGTCTAGAAATCCATAATTCCTTAATATTTACTCAAATTTACTTGAAATATTAATTTAATAAATATTTTTTTGAAATATTTTTTTAAATAAAATATATATAGAATATTCGATTAAAATAGATTATATTAATTCTTAATCCTTATCTTACACTTTATGGTATGGACTAACATATTAAATAATAGAAATATTGGTTTTTATTTTCTATATTTTTTTATGTTTGTATTACTTTTAATTATGTTAGAAATAACTCAAAATTTATAACTAAGATTCTATTTCTTTTATTACAAATATCTATGATCCATATTCACTATAAAGGGTCAGGAATGTCTTCCTTAAGTATAATTGAAAAGTGCATTAATATAAATACAAGTTAAGGTATACAAAAATATGCAAACTATAGAAACGAGTTAAGGTAGATTGGTCCCCACTAGAACTTCTACGTAATAACTCTACCAAAGACGATCCTATCATAGGAATAGTTTCGAGTATGCCTATTACAATTTTGATTGCCCAATAACCAATTTGATCCCAAGGTAAAGAATAATCAGTGACACTAAAAGATGCATTTAATATAGCCAAAACTACACCTATAACCCAAGTTAATTCGCGAGGTTTTTTAAAATTACATATAAGATACACACGAAATACATGTAAGATCATCATACTTGTTGACCGTCGATGAACTGCTCGGATTAACCAACCAAAATTAGTCTCAGTCATTATATATTATACAGAAGCAAAAGCTTCAGTAATAGTTGAACGATAATAAAAAGTCATAACAAATCTTGTTGCTACTTGGACCAAAAAAAAAAAGAATAATTCATCCTAAATAATAAATCTCGTTGCTACTTTTTTGTTATAATGCCAAATTCTCAAGTTGACACACTCGTCTTTTTCTTTATCTTTTAAGATCTCTTAAATATTTTATTATTTCCTTCATTTTTTATTTGTATAATGTGATTTTACTTGCTTTATTATTTAATTTTTATTATTGATAAGGATTCTTTTATTAGGACCATATGAATGAATAAAAAAACCATAAGATTCGTATGATACCCACAATTCAAAAAACCTTTAATTGAAGTCCAAAAATTACTTGAGTAAGAATTACTAGATCATCACTTCTTTAATGAATAGATATAATGAAAAAATTTCAAGGAAATGTCCTTTGCTTAAAATAAAGACAAGCCTCATGAGCTTGAAAAAATGAAAAATTTTAAATTAATTTTTACAACTCTTTGGAAAGGTTTTTAAGTTCAGTTGTGAGGTCTAAATATTTAATATGAATCATAGTTTTAATATTTTAAAAATCTATTTTGTATATTCCATGTTCCAGATACTAGATTAAATATCTAATGAAATAAACACATCTCTATCAAAATGACAAACCCATTTTATGTTTTATACTTTCAATAGAACCAATTAAAACAAGTCACACACTCATATTCCAAAAATATAGAAATAAAAAAATTATACGATCAAACTACCAAATCAAAATGACATAGACTAACAAACAATAAGAAACCTAAAACTTCACTTTTTATTAAAAAAACTAATTACTTGATTCTTGTAAATCTAATTCATAGGAATTTCGTCCAATAAAATGGACGAATTATAAATCTCCAAAATAATAGATAGAAATATCGCCAATAGACCTATTGCAACACCCATCGAAGGAGTAGTTATGGGGCTACTTTACCATATTATGAATTTAAAGGTTTCAATAAATTCCCTACAATAGTTTGTCTTGGACTAGATCTCGAATTATGAGCTATTGAATTAACTTAACAAGCAGAAATAAAAGGAGTTCAAGTGCAGATTGCACGGACGTATTGATGGAAAAGAAATTACTACGTGTAGAATGACTCGAAAGAAGGTAGGGTTCATCTAAAAACCATTCACGCTAAAATTGAATATTTTTGTTATACGAGTTCAAACTATTTATGAAGTTTTAGGGTTAAAGTTTGGATATTTACTTACTAAATAAAAATATATTATTCTTTAATCTTAAATTTTCTATATTTATTTTATCTACAACTTACTCAATTTTTATTTTAAAAAAATTATCTATTTTATAAAATTTAATTGACTAAAAAATAAAATTAATTTTTCTAGTATTATCATGCTTAGTGTGTGACTCATTAATTTTTTAGAACAATTAAAATTAAAAAAATCAATTAATAATTAAATTAATAGTATAAATTAATTTAAAAAAACTAATAATCATCGCATCACTTTGAATTATCTAGATCTAAATAACTAATTAAAACAAATCATATAGAATGCAAAAAAAAATATTATAGCATATTTTAAACATTAAAAAAATTATTTAATTGTAAAGCAATAAAATATATTTATAAATATCGAGGTGAAAGAAAGAGATAAAAATATATTAACATATAAAATTTGAATACAAATATGTAAAGGTACATGTTTATTTTAGAAAAGGTAATATAATAAAATATTCATCTAAATATATATATATATATATATATATATATATATATATATATATAGCTTTAAATTAATAAAAACAAATTAATATTGAAAAAAAAAATTCTTCAGTTGAAAACTTTATGAATGGTATTATAGGGTTGAATTGCTTAAAGAAACACCTAGAAATTTAACTTTATTAGAAAAAAAGTTATGATTTAATTAGAATATTAGAGCTTAAGATTTAAGTCATGGCTACTAGAACATAGACATAATCACAATTAATGAAAACACATTCAAATTGAAACTTATATATCTATAATACCTTTAAAGACAATTTTTAATAAGAATTATTTAAAAATAAAATAAAATATTTTATTATAAATTTCACATGATCAAAGTTATACAAACAACTTTTTTCCCATTTTAAATAATTTTTTTATATTTTTAAATAACGAGATCCACAATAGTAATATTCACTTGTATTCTTTAGTAATTTTTTTATAACAATTTCATTTAGAGATGATCTCATCTGACCATGTGCTTTTTAAAAATGAGTACATTACTTAAATCAAAATCCATAGTAAATTAGAATTGATTTAATTAGCAAATTTAGAAAGTATTTTTTTCCCATTTATTACCTCTATAAACTCTTCTTTGTGTCAAAATCTTAAAATAGAATATATTCTCCTCTCTTAAAATTTCCTTTTAAAACAAGTTACTTTCTTTTCAAATCTCCTTTATTTTTCACTCAAATCTTGGAATTAGTTCTGCGAATCTAGAGTTTGTATCCTTAATATAAGTATTACACATTGATTTTTTTGGACAAGCTCAACATAAAACACACTTCTAGAAATGACAAAAAATAATATAAACCTTTTGTTTTATAAGTCCATAAAATTTATTATTTAGCTATGTGGTTGAGGAAATATTCATAAATATTTTTAAACGAAGAAAAGAAAAAAAAATTCTCTATTAACCAAAATTAATTCATGAGTTAATTTGTAGAAATAATTTAATATCAACTTTTTAAAAATATATATTTTAACTTTATATAAAAGATACAAATTGGACTGAATTTTGAAGTTCAATTCACATGAAATCAAATCCAAAAGTATCTCGCCTGTTTTTCAACTCCCACCATTTTCATTCTGATTTCACCCAGTAAAATAAGAACAAAATCGCCAAAGTAAACCTAGGTTGAAGAATGCTTAGTTCAACTTTTTTTCTTTGACCCATGTTTATTTCTTCAAAATCAGATGAATCATGCATTCACTAACTGGATGGATCAACATACCTGGGCTGGGAACATGAGCAAACACTTGAGCTTCATAAGAGAGCGTAACACTGAGTGCCTAATAAGCAATGACATGTACTAACATGCATATCAATAAACAAAAACCACATAACAGTAATCTCCATTGTAACAAGCCCTACCCCCCCCAGATAATCACAAAGACTTACGCTGGAAAGGGGTGATTATGAATTGAAACACATAAAAAGCTAATCATCCATTAAGCCCAAAAACAGGTGTAACATAATGCACCATTTCTTAAAATCACAGTCTGTAACAAACCTTCCCCAACTAGAGGAGAGCCAAATCAAAGTTTTCCCTTGTCTTCCTCCTTCATCTTCTTCAGCCACCTTCTCTTCTTGTAATCCAGTAACATCTGGGGCATCTTTTCCATCAACTTTGCAGTGTTTTCCCGCTTCTCGGCAGATATCCTATCACATTTGTGTCCTTTCCTCCTGGTCTTCATCTCCTTCCTTTCAGGATCATAGGGCCAATCTTCCCCAGCAAGGAGCACTTCCTTGCGAAGTCTGGCACGACGCCGAGCACTGATACTCAGTGGCTTCCATGCCCCAAGGTCCCAGTATCCCCACACTCCCTTGGCAAGTTCATCCTTATATTTAACCAATTTCTCACGCCAAGGATACTGATACTCTGCTACTGCCTTTGCCACCGAACTAACAACACCCTTGCCCGCCATAACATAACAAGACTCTCTTTTTCTCTACACATGAAAATAACCACTCAATCAGGCAAATTCACAAGCACCTTCAAGGCCAACATCTATTTCCCCCTTTTTAGACCATATAAATTGATGCTACAGACTACACTCCCCTCATTTATTCTCTGAATGAATAACATGCTAGTAACAGTATCATTGTAATAAAATTACCGTCAAAATAAAGAGAGGAACTGAATTTAATTAAAAACAAATAAAATTCCAGAGTGGTAAATCAGACAAGCAATTACGGTGAACAAATAAAGCAAAGAAAACAGAACCAATCGGATCAGCTTAATAAGCGAGAAAATTGGAGGAGACTAAACATTACAGAGTAATCGAAGTAAAATAGGGATTACACTTACCCTTAATGGGATTATCAAGCCCTTTGAGAAATGAACCTGAGAAACAAAAAATTCTTTAAACAAAAAGAGAAATGCTCAAAGATATACACACATAAGCACTTAATTTGGCTCCATTTCATTGTCCCCAGATGACTCTCTGCAACACCGGATGAACCCTAGCACGCTTAGCATCAACAAAGTTGTTAGGTTGGCCCATTATTAAGGCCCAAAACAATTCAGAGCGGGCAGGACAAAATCATCCCACGAACTATATTAGCCCAATGCAGATTTCAAATGTGGCCGATGGGCTAACTGCTGGGTTACCAAATTAAAGAATGGGCCCTACAAATACATGATGCCCCCGTTCTCATTTTCCACAAGCTTTTGATAATTTCCATTTTTTTTCTTTTGTTTTTTTTTTATGGATATTACAATTCCTTTTAAGAACCACATATGTTATTTATGAGAACAATTTTACTTATGCTGAATACAAATACTTAAGCTCAATATTATTGGTAAAATAAAAAAATCTCATATAAATTAATACACCCTCATATAGTCACTAAACTATTTTTCACTAGATGATTATATGAAACTTCCTTATAACTCTCAGACTTAGTTTAATGATTGTGTTTACCTTGCCTTGATTCACACTAAATTAGAGTTGTCAAAACGGGCTAGTCTAGCCTGATCTGGTTCTAATATGAATCACAAGAGGTGATTTATGATCTTTAGGGTTAGAACCTTGTAAGAAATTTAGAAATTTAGTGATAAGATGGAAGGAAAAAATCACTCTTTACAAGGAAAGCAACTCAAAAAGGATGTGAAAGTCTTTTGATACAACCAAGGGTTCTTGAATCACTCAAGAATTTAGGAGAATCACTCTCACTAAGATAAAATAGATAAACTCTAATAGTTCTGAATAAAATTCCACTTGTTATTTTGGATAAAAATGATTCAGCCTATATAGAAGTTTTGCCATCAGAATTAAAAAAATTTAATAAAGGAAAATAAATGCTAATAATGATTCATTAACCTAGGAATTGAAAACTACTTAATAGAGACAAATAAAGGCTAATAATGATCCATTAACTTAGGAATTGAAAACTACTTAATGATTTATTGTAACTGAAATTGTGGTATCAAAAAGTCAATCAGTTATACACTTTCTTGGTCTCCCAAAGATTGATAACTAAATTTCTAATTGGGCCCTTATTACAACTTGCAATAAAACCAAACTAAAGTCCATTAATTGATTAATTTAAAACACAATTTGGTTAACCAACACTACTTGTTGAAGAACTTCTTTTGTTTCCCTTGCTCTAGCCCTTGTCATGTTCACATCAGGTTCTACGAGATTAAATAAAAAAATTGATGGTCCAGTCTGACCTATATTTTAAAATGGACCAAAATGTGATGTAAATGAGATATTCAATCAAATAACCTTAATTACATTGATTGTAATGAATTATAATTGGTTAGAATTTGTAAGAACAAAATCTAAGCAATAAAAAAACAAGTTTTGATCAGTGAAATAACTTAGAAATGAATCAAAAGCGCATAAGAACAATAGAGGACCAGAAAAATGAAAGAAAATAGTAACAAAAACAAAAAATTTGTAAAAAAAAAAAGTAAAGGAGGAGAGAAAAATAGAAATTAAATGGAGAAGATTGAGAGGAGGAAACAAACGTGATCTGAAACATCTTGAACCGATTATCTTCAAGGAACGATTCGTAGAAGAAGCTCAAGAATCGAAGAAGATAAACTACTATAAGAATATGAACTGAATATGAGAGAAAAGTAGAGAGAAATTCTAAATTACAATTTTCGAGGACGAAAATTTTCAGGTTGGGGAGAATGTAAGACCCAAGAAAATAATTATATATTTTAAGGTAGAAATTGGAAGTAAGGGAAGTAATTAAATTAAGAATTTAAGAATATTGCAGAGATGAAGAGTGACTCATTTGGTTAGATCCTTGCCATGAGTTTTATGAGTCATGAGTTTGATTCTTGTATGTGCCTTAGAATAATTATAATTTTTTTATTATTTTATAATTATTTATAAAATACTCATGTGTGTGCACGAACGTTGAATATGCTTATGGAATTAGCAAATTTTAATTGCCACGTTTAGAAATTATTGGTTGATGGTTGTTTTCTTGTATGCATTGTGTGTGTGGGTACATTGTAATTTTTGCTATGTTTATGGATTGACAAGAAACATGTGATGACTATTATAGTTTGTTGTAATGCTTGAGTCTTAGGGGTTGTGAGTTCAAATCCTGACTAGAGTAAAAATGAGGTAATAATATATATTTTTTCCTCGTAAATTCAAGTGGTCAACATGGAATTGTATGGAGAGTCTTCTTGTCATCAATCATAAGTTAAACCACCATGTATCTCATTCCTACATGAATTGAAACCAAACAAGAATATTGATAAAATTTTTGTATGGTTGTTATAGTGTATTTTGGATACTATACAATGATCCTTTCATAATTTCGTATGACTGTTCTAGTGTATTTTGGATACTATACAATGCTCATATTTTAGAGTTTTAAATTGGATTTTTCTAGAGGAAGATGATGAAAAATGTGTTGAGAGGTGTTGCTGGAAAAAAAATCTGCATGTAAACATAATCTTTGGGAGATTATATAAAAATATCTACTTCGTTTTTTAATTTTGAAATTTTGGTTATATGTTCCTTCATATGTCTGGTTCGTGTGTGATTTATTTCAAAATTTTCTAACAAGTAGTTTTTCCATGGAAAATCTTGGAAGTGATTAGGTTTTGAGTTGGGCGAAACAAAGTTGCTATGTCCGCCCAACAACTTCGAAAAAGCATATAAAATCGATATTGAAGTGTGTTTCCCATAAATTTAAATCTTGTGTCGATGTCATGTTGATCGTGGAGGAAAGGAGGACATAAAAATGTTTACATGTCTTCCACGTCAAATAAATAGTAAGAAACTCCTCTTAGTTCCTTTTGGTGAGGTCCAACAAACTCAAATTTTAGGTAAGGGTTTTTCTATTGTTTTTTACTCTTAGAAATGTTTAACTTTTTCACCTTTATTTTGCTTTTTTTTTTTTTTTAAATTATGGGTCTCAAATTTGACTACAAAAACAATCAGTCTAAGCTCATAACCCTTTCAACCATTTTTGGAGCTTAACTTGCCTTGGGATCTCATTGGCCTCAAAAGAAGATGAGGGTGGTAAGTAGTAACCAGGCTTCCACTTTGAAAGATCATATAGAGCTACCAAGTTCTAAAGGGTGGTCCCTCAACTAGTTTCAAAGACTGTTACCAACATACCAACTCCTCCTTGATCTTCAATTGGCTAGATTTCAAGCAAAACTCCTCCCTCACCTTTGATGTTTATAGTGTGGAAATGAGGGTTCCCTCAACAAGATGAACCACATCGTGTTCAACATCCTTGGATCCACCATCCTTTGGCAAGTTAACATGGTTGTTGGGGGATAAAGTTTGACGGTGACTTGCCTTATCCTTTTGATGTTGAGATGTTTATGACAGTGGGACTCTAACATTACACCACTTTTTAGATGTTGCCTATATCGTAGGTTTTACTTGACTTAAAATGAAAAACTATACCTTAACACAATGACAACAATTTAAACGTATGACCTAAATGAACAACTACATTTAAAAAAATGTTATCTATGAAAAGACAACAAATAAAGAACCACAAATTAATTGTATTGAAAACAATTGAATAGTTATGGTATAAAAAAAGGCGACAATTAATAAGTGTTGTCTAAGAATGACAAACAAAATTGTTTCCTAAAAATTGTCAAAAAATTGTGACTATAGTAACAATTTAAGACAACAGTTTTATACAAAATGTGATCTTAGGGAAAATATTGTTGTCTTTGAGTAATGCTCACGACCACATACTCCAAACTGAAAAAGTGTTTCCAATTCATTACTTAAAGTTTAGCTCACAATTATTCTACTTTAGACAACATTTTTTTAGTTGTTGTCTAAAGAAAAAAATGATGTAGGTTACTTTAGTTAGAGAAAGTTATAATTCTAATAATTGTGTTAATATTTTGTTATTAATATCCCTAATATTATGCCATTATTTTGCTTATGTAACATGAAATAACGTGCAACTATCATAATCAATTCCTTTCTTATATTTGTTTATTATAATTACTCGTTAGCTTTATTATAGGATCACAATTGTATTACAATGTGTGTATATAAACACAATATGAAATAAGAATAATCAAGTCATTTTCTACACATTTCTCTTTCTTGGTATCAAAACACTTAAGCTTGAAGGCTCTCGATCCAATCATGTCTTCCGCAGCAAATACAAATCAGAAAAATGACCTACCCGCAACTATCTCTATCATGTAGGATAGAGATAACTATCTCCTATGAAAGCCATTATTTCTTCCATTGATTAGAGATTGCAACCTTGATAGCTACATGCTAGGAACAAAATAATGTCTATAATAGCTTGTCACCACAAGTGACAAAACTAAGAAAGACATTCCTAACTATGAAGAGTGGATCGCACACGACCAAGATCTCTTAGGGTGGCTAAAAAATTCAATGGTCATTGACATTGCAATACAGTTTCTACATTGTGAAACTTTAAGAAACTTTGGGATGAAGCCCAAAACCTAGTAGGTGTACATAAAAAATCAAGGACAATCTACCTTAAATCCGAATTTTATAACATTCGCAAAGGAGAAATGAAGATGGATCAGTATCTTCTCAAAATGAAGAATCTTGCTGACAGATTAAAGCTGGCTGGATCACCGATCTCCAACTCAGAATTAATGATCTAAACACTAAATGGTCTAGATGTTGATTACAATCTATTGGCTTTGAAAGTAGAATAGAACAAGTGGAAAATTTCAAGAATCTCTCAATAAATGCTTCAGCAAACCTTGCAAGGAAAGCTAATTTCAAAGGAAACAAACCAAGGACACAAGGCAACTGAAGGGGCTCTAACTTCAAAGGAGGTAGAGGAAGAGGTAAATCTAAATTAATATGTTAGGTATGTAACAAGATTGGTCACACTGCAGTGAATTTTTTTTATCACTATGATAAGTCATACATAGGCTCAAATCATAATGCTAAAAATAACAAGAGAGAAGATCACAGTGCATTCATAGCCTCCCCCTACCATGACCAGGACTATGAATGGTACTTTGATAGTGGAGCTAACAATCATGTGACTCATCAAAATGAGAAACTCCAAGATCTCAATTAAAGCAATGGTAATAATTCTGTCTTAGTTGACAATGGTGAAAACTTAGGAATATTGGCTTCAAGTTCAACTAAATTAAATAACCTCAATTTACATAATGTCGTATATGTTCTAGATATAATCACAAATTTGTTGAGTGTATCTAAACTAATTGTCGACAATAATACTCTTTTTGAATTTTATGCAAACCACTGTTATGTGAAGGACAAACTTAGAGATGGATTATACTAACTTCAAGTGTCAATTCTCAAGTTAATAAAGACTCATGTATCTACATGTCATTCAAGGAGAATTAGCATAGGAAGCTTGGACACCCCAACAATAAAGTTCTAGAAAAGGTATTGAAGAATTACAAGGTAAAAACTTCATCAAGTGATCAATTTTCATTTTGTGAAGTGCGTTAATTTGGAAAACTTCATTTGTTACCATTTAAATCTTCTTCCTCTCATGTTAAGGAACCTTTAGAATTGATACACAGTGATGTATGGGGACTAGCCCCAATTTTGTCTCCATCTAATTTTAAGTATTATGTTCATTTCATTGATGATTTCAGCAGATTCACTTGGATTTTTCCCTTAAAACAAAAATCAGAAACAATACATGTTTTTACTCAATTCAAAAGTGTGGTTGAAAACTAGTTTAACAAGAAAATAAAAGCCCTTCAGTGTGATGGTGGAGGTGAGTATAAACTTGTCCAGAAAATGGTCATTGAGTAAGGAATTCAATTTAAAATGTCTTGCCCATATACCTCTCAGCAAAATGGTAGAGCATAAAGAAAACATAGACATGTGATTGAACTAGGGCTCACACTATTGGAACATACCAAAATGCCTTTACACTACTAGTGGGAAGCTTTCTCTACCTCAGTTTATCTCGTTAATAGATTACCTTCATCACTTAATCCAAATGAAAGTCCATATTCATAATTATTTGGAAAAGAACTTGACTATGCTGCCTTAAAGCCTTTTGGTTGTGCCAGCTATCCTTGCCTCAAACCATAAAATCAACACAAACTTCAATTTCACACTACATAGTGTGTTCTTGGGATACAACAAATCTTACAAGGGATATAAGTGCCTCAACTCCCATAGAAGAATTTTTTTCTCAAGACATGTGATCTTCAATGAGAACCACTTTCCATTTCATGATGGCTTTCTTGACACAAGAAATTCATTAAAAACTCTAATTGGAACAATACCTATTGTTCTTCCATCTTGTTCTACAGGTATCACTACAAGTCACACATTTGAATCAACAAACAATGAGGTGAACCATCAGGAAGGTGACTTAGTTACCAATGAATATTAACCAGCTCTCAACCAACTCTCAATGACTTAGCTTCTAATGAAAATCAACCAACGCTTATTGATATCCCTATCAATGCAAATGATGCAACCTCACAAGCAAATGAAACACCAATTGTAAAAGGCCCAATAGAGGACACACCAATAAACACACTAGAAGACCCAACAGGATTAACAGGACAACATGCATTGGATGCAAACCAGAGGCAAGGTAGGGATCTACAAGCCAAAATTGCCCTTTATAGGGCTGATAAAGACTCACACAGAGGACAAGGAACCAGAAAATGTCAATGAAGCACTAGTTAGTCCCAAGATGGAAAGCAGCCATGAATGCAAAATTTAAAGCTCTAGCAACTAATCACACTTGGACATTGGTACCATTTCAGGGCATAATAACATTATAGACTCAAAGTGGGTCTTTAAACCAAATATAAGGTAAATGACTCAATTGAGAGAAGAGAAGCAAGATTGGTTGCCAAAGATTTTCAACAAACTGTGGGTCTCGATTATGATAAGACCTTCAGTCTAGTGATCAAACCTAATGTTGTAAGAATTGTCCTATCCATTGTAGTACATTTAAATTGGAAAGTTAGGTAATTAGACATAAACAACACATTCTTGAATGTTAATCTCAAAGAAACTGTGTTTATGCATCAACTTGAAGGATAAACATATTCAACCAAGCCTAATCACATATGCAAATTAAATAAGGCAATCTATGACCTGAAGTAAGCCCCAAGGGCTTGGTATGACAAGTTGAAGGATTCTCTACTAGAATAGGGGTTTCAAAACACCAAAAGTGATTCATCACTGTTTGTCCTTAGAGGAACTGAACATATCATACTCTTTCTCATATATGTTGATGACATAATAGTAGTAGAGAGCAACAATAAGTGTTTAGAGAACTTCATTACTCAACTAAACATTACTTTCTCTCTTAAAGACTTAGGCCTTTTACACTGCTTCTTGGGAATTGAAGTATATAGAGATACGAGTGGAATGTACCTAACACAACAAAGTACATTAAAGACCTGCTCAAGAAGTTTAATATGGGAAAAACTTCATCCTACCCCACACCAATGATAACAAGGAAACAATCCACTATTAAAGGAGAACCTATTGCTAACCCTACACTATACAGACAGGCTAGGTGCATTACAATATATAATTGTTAGGTCTTTCCGAGGGGGACTAACAACAGAGAGATTCTCATACAAATGGGACACGAGCCAACCATATAAGAGAATATGACACCACCTTCAACCCAAAACCTTAAAGAATTAGGTTATGAGTCTTTCTCACTTATAAGTTACTCAACTTTTCCATTTCTACCCAATGTAAGACTTCAAACACACTTGAATTATTAACACTAACAAACACTCGGGCAGACCTAGTATTTTCTGTCAACAAACTCAACCAATATATGAGTTCCCCAACCACAAATCATTGGTAAGGAATAAAAAGAATACTGAGATATCTCCATGGCACAATAAATTTATGCCTTCATATCAAACTCAATTGATCTTCATATTGTTGGGTTCCTTGATGCAGATTGGACTAATAGTATAGATGATAAAAAAATCCATGGTAGGAAAATGTGTGTTCCTTGAAGAGACATTAATCTCGTGGGCCTCAAGAAAACAAAAACTGGTGTCACGTCAAGTACTGAATTAGAATACAAAGCTTTGGCTGACCTAGTAACAGAAGTAGCTTGGATCATATCACTTATGGGTGAGCTTAAACTTCCTATGCCCAGAAAACCAGTTTTGTGGTGTGATAACTTGAATAGACACTAACATCCACTCCAGTGATGCATGCTCGGTCCAAATATATTGAGATAAATGTCCATTACATACGTGATCAAGTGCTTCAAAATCAAGTCACAATAGCCTATATGTCCACAACATATCAGATTACAAATTTCTTAACCAAACCTCTCACATAGACAAGGTTTAACATGTTGAGAGACAAATTTGGGTTGACTATATCCTCATCAGCTTGAGAGAGGAGTTAGAGAAAGTTATAATTCTAATAATTACATTAATATTTGTTATTAATATCCTAATATTATGCCATTATTTTGTTTGTGTAACGTGCAATAACATGTAGCTATCATGATAAACTTCTTCCTTACATTTGTTTATTATAATTACTACTAGCTTTATTATAGGATCGCAATGATACTACAATGTGTGTACATAAACACAATATGTAATATGAATAATCAAGTCATTTTCTACATATTTCTCATTCTACTTGGACTCCACCAAGGTGCTCTTTTCTCAGTGAATGACTTTGGTGTACTACTAGAAAACTTCATGGAGGAGCATCAATGGGAAGTATACAGTGTAAAGGAAATTGTTGCCCTTAAGAGGTAGATGGATCATCTTCTTACTACCATGTCAATCATGAGACAATCATCTCTACAAAGACTAAGGAGAACTAGATAATAACTAAAGTTAAGAAGAAGATCATTGACCTTGAGGAGATGAAAAGACAAGAAGGCAACTAAGAAGGCTACTTTTGAAATTATAGAGATTCATTGTCATGCCGATGAAGTTGAGAACAAGCATTGCCTCTGAGACTAAGGCAGCGAGTTTGAACAAAAGTTGGAGATGCAAAGCACCCATCTCCGTGTATGTGAGGAATAATATGCTGGTTTTTCTTTAAAAGAAAACTTACATTAGTGGAGCTAACATATTTTCCTAACTGTAAAACACTTTTACATGTGTTTCATTCCAAATTTACGAATCGACTTCATAATAATTCTTCCAGTAGTTTGTTTTTTCTTTAAAAGAAAACTTACATTAGTGAAGCTAACATATTTTTCTAACTGTAAAACACTTTTACAAGTGTTTCATTCCAAATTTACGAATCGACTTCATAATATTTCTTCCCGTAGTTTGTTTGTACTATCTTATAATGAATTGACTATTCTAAAAGGCAGTGACGGATCTTCTTGGGAGCTGAGGAGGGTCGTGCCCCCTCAAAGTTTTATAACTCCCATGTAATTTATGATTTTGGCTCCCCCAAACTTAATAAACATTTAATATATTTACTTGTATATTTACAATTCTATCCTTTCAACCCCTCCTCAATTTTGTAACTCCCATGTAATTTATGACTTTGTCCCCCTCAAACTTAATGATCATTTAATATATTTAAATATATATCTACAATTTTATCCTTTTACCCTTTCATCTTCTTTCTTCCTTTTATATTTATTTATTATTTATTAATAATATATTATTTTATATTTATTATTTATTAATAATATATTATTTGGCTCCCCAAGATCAATGGTCAAGATCCGCCATTGCTAAAAGGGTCGTCCGATTGGGATAATTTTCCCCTCTCTTCTATCTCATGGACTTCTCTTACTTGATTCTAGACAATGTCACCTTTTTTTAAAATTTGTTTTTTTTTTACTCATTGATTATACTTTGGATAATCTCTAATCAAATCCAAGTTATTTTTTAAACTTTATTAACTAGATTAATACAATTTTGATATTTATATCATTTTGGACATTATATAAAACATTTGTGCTCGCCAATATTCTTCACTAAACTCTACTAGTATCATCATTGTGTCAATTTCATAGGTTAAGGAAATTTGATTAGTGGATAATAATAATAATAATTTCCTCTGCCCATTGCCTATTTGAATTTCTTCTTACGTTCATTGAATATGTGGATATTCTTTACCAACCCATTTATTTAATAATCTAATAATGCTCTAGTGAAGATATGTGATGATTTATTCATATGTCTTTTAAAAATTGTTCATAATCGCTATCAATAAATTATTTTTTCTACTTATTACTAAAGTATTGGGAATATATATTCAAAATATATTTTATTTTTAGTAATGAAAAATTAATTTGGTGATCAATTCATATTTTGGATTATAATTTTTTATATTATATTATATATATATATATATATATTATCATTTCATCATTATAATTTTGTATTATTATTAAAAATTTCATTATAAATTTAAAATATATTTAATTTTGTGCGATTTCATTGGATTAATAAAAAATAATTTGGTGATCAAAATAACATTTTGATTATATATATATAATATCTAAGATGTTATGTTATCATTATCTGGTATTGTCATTAAGAATTTCATAATAAATATGTATTGTTTTAATATTAATATTTTATTACAATGATATTTTAAAATTGAGTTGAATTTGGGAAATTATGTTAAATATATATAATATTTTTTTATTTTTTTAATATACGTCAGATTAACTGGATCAATCAGTAATTTAATAGTCCAATCATTAATTTAATCATCTAACCATTAAGAATAATTTTGAAACATGATTATGCATACTATCCAAAGTACCAATATTGACTGTATTTATTATCGGGAATAGATACGGCTTTTCTTTTCTCGTTTCGTTTGGCATATAGATTTGGCTTTTCCTTTTTCCTCCTTAGTGACAGCCATAACATGTTTTTGGTCAATCACGAAATGAAAAATTTACCAGATAATTTTCACATATAACTTTTATATGTCTTTTTATTTCTTCACTGTTACGCTATGCATTATGTATATATATTATTTCTCCTTTTCATCACATATTAGGTTAGTATATAGTGTATTTGGATATGTTTTATAATCAATTTCGATGGTGATGTTCATGAATTAAATAATATATTATTAATAAATAATAAAGAAATATCAAATGATAACATATTAAATTTATAAATATATAAGAAAATATATTTAATATTTATATATTTAATATATCTCATATCTTTATGTAGTTTTTTTAATTTTACTATTTTATTGACTTTTAATTAATTTATTTACTTTTTAATTAAGAGATAAAAAAATTAAAATTTTATTATTTGATACTAAATTCTATTTTTTAAAATATTTTTGGATAATTAAAATTATAAATACTAATAAATTACAACCTTTAGGGTGGACAAGACTTTTCTCACCTCCCAATAAACTCTGCAATAATTCCCATCCTCACGGTGAAAAACTGAGAAGCAATGAGTTGATTTAGATTGAAAGTCAGGTAATAAAAACAGTACTGAGAACTTTTTGGCATCAAATCATTTTGAAGTGTAATTCTGTAACAAAAATAATTGTATTTTACTTATTGATTAAGACCTAAATCTTGCATCTAATTATTTGTGTTAAATATTTAAAAGAAAAAAAAAGTTATAATAGTTTTACTTGATTTGAGTAAAATATATGTAATTGCGTATGCAGACTTCAACCTCGACCATAGATTAATTTACTACGCATAACTTTATGTTAGTTAGCTTGCGTGATTAGTAATATTCTTAAGGGTCTTGTTTTTTTAATTATTAATGTTTAGGCTTATTAGTATATTGTACACGAATATAATATTATACATTTTTTAAGAGAACATATAAGCATATCTTCTACAAGAAGTAATGTTGTTGGAGTTGAATAGACTATTAATAAAACTGTACTTTTTTTTTTTAAGTTATGCAGAAATAATTTCATTTTCATGTTCAATAATTATTATATTACTTAAATATGGATTATAATATTTCATTAAGATTATGGTTTAAAAATACATATCTATAATTAAACTATTAAACGATGAAGTCATGTTTTCATTGGTTTAACTGCTCTAATTTTGCACAAAAGAAAACACTATAATTCTCCAATTAAAAAAAAAGTTATATTTGACTGAAATATGATTAAAGCATGGACCAGTTTATTCCTATGGCCTACACTATCTAATTGATTCCTCAGCTAGATCTTAAAGTGCTTTTTTACACTAAAATATTATACTTTGTAGCATTATTAACTTCCAACAATTGGTATTCTGTGGACCAAAATTTATTACTATTGTAATATACTTTACTTGATGAAAAAGAATTAACAATTACTATAATGGAAGTGTATCAATGATCTTTTTTTACCTTTTAATTTCTTAATAATAAATACTTTCCAGAATTAATAGCATGATTAAATTATAATATTTTCCAAAACCCCACTCGCCATTCTTGGAATGTAGTCCCATTAATTAGTAACGTTTGGATTCTTTCACATTCAAATTTTAAACAAAGCTGTCAATCGTTGTAAGATCTTGAATAAGATATAACTTATTAATGGTAAAGAGATAAATTTAGGGTTTAAAAAGGTTTTATTGAGATTTAATCGAATTTAATATAATAAAATACTAATACCAAAATGGAGTGTGATTCAAAATTTGCAGAAGCTTCTGAAAAAGGTAATATTGCCTAGTGGCTTATTTCATATAGGTGAAATACTTGCTTGATAATTTTTTTTTTCATATTTTTAGATAAGACAATAAATATATTAACTAATTTTGATTTAAAAAATAAACAGGATACCTGATTATCTATTCGTTATGATTTATTTGGTAATAGCTGAGTCTACCAGAGTTTATAAATCCGTTAGTCTAGTTCGATTTTATTAAAATATTATAAACATGTTTATAATTTTGGTATCTAAATTTATATTGATTTTGGTTTTAATCCTCTAATTTTAAAAAAAGTAATTATATTTTTATTCTTTAAAAATTAAAAAATATGATTTTAATAATTAAACATTAAATTTATGGGATTAAAATGATTTTTTAAAATGATTTTAATATTGTTAATTATAATATAACGAGTATATTGGTTTATCACAAGACACAAAAAAGAGAGAGAAAAACAACCTAAAAACAATAGTTTTTGTGATTTGTGTAATGCTTCAATATATTTATTGGATGACAAAGAATGTATTTATATACAAGACAATAATGTAATTGTTAATAACAGAAGAAAAAACAGAAATATCTAATATAGACAAATTTGGTTTGATTAACTAACACTCCTCCTCAAACCAAAATAGATATATCAACAACATCAATTTGCTCTTTTAAGACTTTTGAATCATTCAAACTTCAAAACTTTTGTCAAAATGTTAGCAAGTTGTATCTTAGACTTACAATGCTCTACCTCTAGTTTTCCATTTGAAACTTGCTCACAGATGAAGTAAAATCTGGTATAAATGTGTTTGCTTCTACCATGAGAGGCTAGATACTTGACAAGATCTATTGTAGATTTGTTATCAATCATCAACTTCAATTTACATGTTTGTTTTACCTTCAATTCCTTAATTAGTGAACTCAGCCAAATTGTTTGACAAGTTGCTTCAGAGGCAACTATATACTTAGACTCACAAGATGAGAGAGCCACCACTGATGCCTTTGTAGAGCTTCAGGAAATTTGTGTCTCTTCAAGAAAAAACATGTACTCAGTCGTGCTCTTTCTATCATTCTTGTCACCACACCAATCAACAAAATTTCCAAATTTAAGTTCCATGTAGATATCTAAGTATGCACTTCATAGCAAGAAGGTGTGATACTTTTGGTTCTTGTATATTTCTACTCACCAACCCAACACTTGAAATTCAAATCTGATATAATATTACACATATACCTCAGGTTTTCAACAATACTTCGGTATTGTGTAAGATTAACTCCCTCTTCATCAAGATTTTTCTCAAGCTTCAATCCTACTTCTGTGAGCGTGTTGACATGATTACTTGTTGCATTCCAAATTTTTCTAGCATATCATGAGCATACTTTGTTTGATGCATAGTCATCCCATATGAAATTTTTTTGAACTTAATACCCAAGAAATAACTCAAATTTCCCAAGTTGTTCATCCTAAACTCTTTTAGAAGTTCACTCTTGCAACAACCTATCAACTTTTCATTGTTATCAGTGATCAAAAGATCATCAACATACATATATATGATGATTTGTTCAATTCTATTGTTGTTCTTCCATACTTTTACATAGACTCTATGTTTGGACATACACTTAACAAAGCCATTTTTTTCAAGAGAACCGTCAATCTGCTTGTTTCATGCTTTCAGTGTTTTCTTAAGTCCATATAAGGTCTTTTTTAGCCTATACATTTTATGCTCAAGCCCCCTAAGTTACGGCCTATGATCCACATATACGATACAAGTATCGGATACAATATGTATCCAATACGATGATTCATCTTATATAAAAAATATAAGATACTATACGTTTAAGATATATATATATATATATATATATATATATATATATATAATTCATAAAAAATGTATATATAATTATTAAATATTATTTAAATTGAACACATTAAATAGTATCAATTTCATCTCCTCCTTGAGGATCATCAGTAAATAAAACAACTTTCATGTCTCGGTTCATCAAGAGATAATGTTGCCACTCTAAGATTTCCAACATCGTCAAAGTCATCCCATGCATCTTCACTAATGTCCCACATTTTAGAGTTTCCTTAGTTATATTCTTCACTTTGCATAGCCAGAAGTCATAAATTAGTATGCACATAATAAAAATATAAATTTATTAAAAATAATAAATATATTAGTATTTATATAAAAATTAATTATTTGAATTATTAATAAAATTTAATTGATTAAAAAATCAAATTATAAATAATTATTAAATAAAGTTAATCTAAAAACATAATATATATATATATATATATACATATATTATTACTAATATATTATATATTTTGAAATCCAAATATATTAACTAAAATTTATAAATAATATATTACCTATCACCCAATATCACAAATAGGTAGTGAGTCTCATGTGGAAAATGAAAGCAATCTCATACGTTAAAACACGAAGAAAAAGAGAGAGAGGAAAGTTTCATGTTGGAAGACGAAGAGAGCGAAAAAAGAAGAGAGAAACAAACGCGAGAACAGATAAGAAATAAACTCGTGACGAAGGGGGAGAGAGAAAATCAAGGAGAAACAAATGACAACAACGTGAAACTATAAGTTTTTGGAAAAATAAAATGTTGGGGAAAAGAGATACATATTTAAATAATTAAAATCTGTTTTAATAAATATTTAAATAATTCAAATTTGTTTTGATTAATTTAACAATAATAATAACAAAAAAATATTTGTTATTTTGTTTGGATTTTTTTCCGATTCTTTTTTGATACGAATTTTTTAAGTATCAGAGTAAATCGTTGGCCTTTCCAACGTATCTATGCATCATAGACTGCTACACATAAACCTCTTCTTCAAGAAGGTCATTCAGAAAAGTTGATTTAATATCTAATTGGTGTAAGGACCAATTGGCATTTTGTTAGGAAATACAAGTGTGATTCTAAGTAGAACTAATTAACATTTTGTTAGGAAATACAAGTGTGATTCTAAGTCTTAAATTTCTAAGTAGAACCAATTAACATTTTGTTAGGAAATACAAGTGTGATTCTAAGTCCTAAATTGAGTAAGAATGAGAAAGTTAAGCAACATATAAGAAAGTATGACCCATAACCTATGTGATGTCAATTCTTATGTGGATTGGACTCATGTCTCATTGATGTGTTTCTCCCCTGTGTTTCCTATTGGGTTAGGGTGAACGGTGATATATAGAAGGATCACTAGTGAATTACACTTGTGTTTCCTATTGGGTTAGGGTGAACGGTGATATATAGAAGGATCACTAGTGAATTACACTTGATATCTTACTCTGATACCACTTATTGAATCTTTTGGGGGATTCACCGGAGAGACAACACTAATGAGACATGAACCCAACCCACATAAGAGATTGACACCACTCTCAGCTAAAAACCTTAAGACATTGAGTTATGAGTTTTTCTTTCTTATATGTTGCTCAACTTTCTCATTCTTACACAATGTGGGACTAAGACGCATACTTGTATTTCCTAACAATTTTCCCCTCAAGTGTAAATTCTTCCACATTGGTACATCCCCTTGAGGTCACTAATAGTCCTTCCATGTATCTTGCACTCTAATGAGACACGTTTACTTGACTCACTCTGTCAGGAAGACTTTCGATATAAAGACCACTTTGACCCACTATCGATCAACCTTCGGCTCTGATACCATTTGTTGGGTCTTTTGAATGAGACATGAACCCAACTCATATAAGGATTGACACCACTCTCAACCCAAAGTCTTTCAATATAAACACTTCATAATCACGAAGATGAGATGAGAGTTGTGTAACTCTGGATGATTTTCTTGCATCATGATTAACATGTTTGTTTTATTCCACTAGAAACCTTAAATAAAAACAATTCTAATAAAATTTGAAGTCTGAATCATTTTGAATCCTTTAAATGTACATTTTCTTTTGTTAGTACTTATTGTTAATAAATAATCTTTAAAATTAACTTCCATCTTTTATTTCAAATAGGTTTTACCTATTATTATTTAAATACAATTTAGATATATGGACACTAAATTGTATTGTATGATAACACGGATGGACTAAATTAAATTTTACGGATTTTATTTAGGAATTTATTTAAAATGAAGAATTATTGTAAAAAATAAGAAATATTTTTAGAAATTTTGTAATATTAATTTATTTATATATTATCTTATCTCTAGTTCATGTTAAATTTTATCACTCATCACAGAAGATTTTTTTATCACATCTTTCCCCTTTAACTTTATATATTTTTATTGGCTACAATAATAAATCGTACATTTTAAATATATTTAATATTTTTATTTTAAACATAAAAAAAATATAAGGATTATGATGATGCTACATCTAAGTTTAGCATATATTCACAACAATGTCTATACACGTGCTTAACATCGTCCATCATTATGTTTGAAAGATGGTCCATTTTAAAATTGTAATCAGTGATAATTTTAGGATGTTTCAATAAATTGATGAAATAAAATGTATAAAAAAAATTATTGACCTCGAATATATATATATATATATACCGAATAAATAAAAATGGGACGCTGAATAATCATTGAGAGAAAATGTTGATCATCCCATGTCTAGAGGAATATATTTCCTTTTCAACCTGGCGCTGAATATATTTTTGCAACCTATATCCGAAACATCACAATGTAGGAGTTTCAAAATTTCCTCCACTACGTCTTTGATTGTGTTAAGGGAACACATGATTGACATCTCATGCGCGGGTGACTTATATGTTGCATGTAACGAGTTTC